TTGGCCTCTCAGAGTTGGTAAGACAACTCCCACCTTTTCATGCTCTCTGTATGTGTATATATATCTCCTCAATATATGCTCCATTCTATGCATCCGATGAAGTGGGCTGTAGCCCACAAAAGCTTATGCTCAAATAAATGTGTTTGTCTCTAAGGTGCCACACGTACTCCTGTTCTTTTAACTTTTCAGTGTAGACCAGGCCTAAGCATGAGCACAAGGCCTGTGTTTTGCTGCAGTGACATCGCCCCGACAGTCCCCAGGTTCTAAAAGCCTCATCTTCTCAGGAAAAGGCCCAGCATTAAAATACCTGGGACTCCTTTGCAGGCATGGCAGGGCTTTCCCTGGGAATTTAACTCAGGGTCCAGGGTCCCAAGAAATGAGTCTGTGTTGGTTAGAACCTGCCACACTCTGGGCCTTCTGGGTCATAATCCATTGACGGAGCTAGCATATTCCCTCTCTTCCCATAGGAGACAATCATGGAGCTGCTTGACCACAAGAAACTGGATCAGGATGTGGCTTATTTTGCTGATGTTGTGGGTAGTGGGGTCTCATGGTAAAACTGGATTTGGTGCCAGGACTGCCCCTGTATCATAAATGAGCACTATGTATGTCATCTGTGACTAGTTCAACATCCTCAGTTTGGAGGAACTGATTACCTAACAGTGATCAAATACTTCCCCATTGCCTTGCAGCTGGGATCTGGATCTAACCTGCACTTACTGCTCCCTCTCTAACTTGGGCCCTGTTTTCCCTGCAGTACAACTGAGAACGTGACAGTGTACACCTGGGAAAACCTCCAGAAGCGTCTGCCCGCGCCACGGGGGCTCTTTATAAGGTCAAGGTGTATGAATCCAAGCAGAACGTCATTGTGTACAACGAAGAAGAAACGGCTCCACTGGCCTCGATGTGTGACCGGAGCGCACACGGCGGAATCAGGGACTAGCATTGTCTGCAGATGAAATGAAGCTTTGCAATCAAGATAAAATCTACCGCACTGCAGGTAGTGCCTGTTCCTGCTTCACTAACCGTGTCCAGTCTTGGTCTCTCGCTCCAGCCCACCCCGCGGCTGCTGCTGACATGTTGTGAGTGAACATTTTAAAGCTAATTCCCCCAGAAACAGAAACAACCAAGCTTATTGCAGACTCTAAACTGTCCCCTACTCCCCGCTGAGGAGCGGAGAGGCAAGGGACCAGGGTAACTGTGTACCAGCAGGACACTCACCTCTTGAGCGCCTCCTGCTGCTGCTCTGCGGTACTGTAGTCCGTTTCTCACTCCTGGTGCCTCCTGGAGGTTGTTGACCTCACTTGGCAGGTCTTCACTGGTTCGGTCCTCAAACTGGGTCACACCATCAAAATGAGCCCCTTCTGGGGTAGCAAAGAGTCCAACAAAACTGCCTGTCTGCCCTCACCAGGGTCTTCACTCATCCCCTGCTCTGGGCCCTTCAAATTCAGCCCTTTGCTTAGGCTTCCAAGGTAGCCGTGTCCCATTATCAGGGCTTACACCACTTCGCCAGTGGGGGAACCCAGGCCCACCCCTTGCTCCAGGTTCTGACCCAGGGACCCTATGAACAGCAGCCACGCTCCGCTCACTTTGATTCATTGCGGCTACTTCCCTGGACCTTTTCCCACCTGGCCCCTGTATCTTCACTCCTTGCTTCAGAACTCAGGGCCTGCCCCCCAGCTTAAGCCAATGCAGCCAGAACCAAACTCTGTTCACCCCTCGAGTGCCTGTGGCCAGAGAGCAGCTCCCAGACCCACCCCTCTGGTTCCCCCACCCAGGGACTGATCTGCCTGGGCTCTGCAGCTCCTTTTATCCGGAACAGTGGTGCTCTGATTGGCTGCCTGCAGGAGGCTTCTCTAGGCAGGTCCAAAGAACCTATCTTCTCTGCTGCTTTCCTGGGGCAGGGTGTAGTAGGTCCCTGGGGCCTCCGGCAGGGGGCTAGGAATGGCCAGGTGCACCCCATCACCAGAAGAAATACTGATGACAACATTGTGTGAATAAACAGCCTTTGCAGACCACCCTCATGGTGTCTCCTTCAGCTGCTGGCTCTAAGGAACTGAGTACATATAGTGACCATCCCAGAGCAGGGCTGCAGCTGGAGAACTCCCTGCCAGGGCCGCCCAGAGGATTTAGGGGGCCTGAGGCAAAACGGGGGAGCTGCGGTGCTTGTACTCACCTGACAGCAGTCCGGGTCTTCGGCACCGGGGGGCCCTTCAGTTGTTCCGGGTCTTCGGCAGACCCACTGCTGAAGACGCGGAGCGACTGAAGGGCCCCCCGCCACCGATATGCCGCCAAAGACCCGGACCGCCCTGGGCCAGGGCTCGCGGAGCCCAGGGTAAATTGCCCCACTTGTCCCCTCCTTTGGGCAGCCCTGCTCCCTGGGGGAGAGGCGTCAACAGAAGGAGTTCTTAGAGTATACGGTGTGCACAGAGCACAGCCGGGTGAAGCTGCAGTTCAATGGCAGTGTGAACTTGCCTTACTGCTGGGGAGAGCAGGGATCAGACACTGTTAGCTGGAGGCAACAGCACTGAGCTTGCAACAGTTAGGAATCGGAGCCTGGCACGGTGTAGTGCACCACCTACTGTCCAACCATCTGCAGTGCTTGAGAACGAGCTGAAAAATAATGTCTCCATGAAGGGAGCGGGCTAAGGACTCGCAAGGGCTAGTAAACAAGATTGTGTAGGCTGATCTGGCCTGCAACCCAGGCAACCAACAAGACTAGCTGCTCGAAAGGTAGAGAAATATGCCCCTCTGGCCGAAACCTTGAGAGCTAAGGGTTACCAGGTTCAGATGCACGCACTGATCATCGAAGCAAGTGCTGAGAGAATGTGGGATCAGTCAACACTACGCTATGGCTGATGGAGCAACTCATGGTGTCGGACGCCATCAGGTGGTCGAGAGGCATCTACATAGAACACATCACCGGACATCGGCAATACCAGGAGGGATGAGCTGGAGTGCCGATGAGAAGCGCAGTCAGGAAAGTAACTGAAATACTTTCCTCATGGATTGTATTTTCTAAATGGACAACCTACTTAATTCTCAATTACTGAGGGACAATCTCCATTTGTTATATTTTACTTTCCACAATAAAATCTCTGTACAATTCCTCATGAGTGATGTACCCAAGTATTCGGATTCTAATATCTAAACTGTATTGTTAAATCTATTCACCTAAATGTACGTTATTGCTGATTATGTACTATCATATGACTTTAAAAACAAACTTTGTATTTGTGGATAATGTACGCACTATACCCAGATGTAGACACTCTTTTCTCAACCTATGTATTATATAATTTTTTTAACATTAGCTTTAATAAAATGTTTCAATCACCTGCCTTCTTCTCTAGGGGATAGGTTTTATCCCTGTGAGAAGCTTGACTCTCACTGTATGTTGAACCAGACTTTGTTACAACTATGGGTCTGGATCCAATCTCCTCTGTATGACCTAACACTTGAACAAAGGAAGATGAGAGATGGGAAAATTCCTAATATCTCATAGCGGCCCTTTGCTAGTGTTTTGTCCAGTCTCATTTCTCAGCCACTAGGGTTTTGCACCAGGAAAAGCTCCCAAGGGAAATGGTGACAGGACTCAGTTTTCCTTTGCTTTATTTCATCTATTGCTCCTAGTTATTCCCCCATGTATCTCTGGTCTAAACTAATTCCTCACCCTCCCTCCCTGCTAGGAGCAGTAGAAGGCTATGTCCCCCTGCAGTTAGTACTTAGCCCTGCTCTATTGATTGAGCTCTTTCCTTATAGTCAACCTCTCTGGCCTCTCAACCATTTTCATTGCTGTTCCCTTAGCTCTCTCCCACTTTACAGCTACCTTTCTGGTAATGGGATGGCCAGAACTGAACGGGATATATTTCAGGTGTGACGACAGCAGTGCCTTGTAAAGAGGGCCACTCTCCTCCCAACCCCCATTCAGAATCTCACTGCCAGGGGAGACATCTGCAAGAGACCAAACTCATGTCATTAGCTGCCTGCTTCGCATGCTGCAAGCATCTTTCCCCCACCCACATACAGACACATCTTGGACTGTTTCAGTATCCTTGTTCGCAGATTTCTCCTTCCCATGAAGCACCTGGGGGTTGGGTTACTTGTCCACAAATGTGTTAGCCTAAATTGAATCTTATTTCATTTCCCGCCCCTAGAGCCTTTGGATTTCTCTGCCCTCCCTGGCGTCTGTGTTTCCTCCCCATTTAGTGTTACCTGTTGGATTCATTGTTAGCTCTGGGCAAAGGGGCTGGATTGACATGGCCTGTCCCTGCTCTAAGCACCTCTGGCACAAGGAGGTGGGCGATGTCAGCTTCCTCCAGTCACAGCTGCTTTCCCTTGTCCTGGAGGCCCCTACACTTATTCCATCCGTGTGGCCCATTCATTTGTGGGTGCTATTTGCAGTAGTTGAGATGGCTCTGAAGGCCCAAGCTAAGGCCTGGTTTCATTTGGAAAGGGCTGGATTAGAGTGTTTGCAGTGAGACTGAGAGGGGGCCTTGCCTATGGAATACTCTCCCCTGGCTTTGCCACAACCCTAGTTTCAAGCTCATTTCTCGTCCTTGGCTTTCTCTGGGGCATGGGGGGAGATGAGTAGGAGGATCAGCCTCAGGATAGAGCTTGTTATTTTGGGAGAGTTGCATCTGAATTGCTGTGCTAATTCGGGTATCTGTTTCTTTATTTGGCCTCCATGCTGCTTTGGAGCTAGGTACAAAGCAGAGCAGGCTACCTTGTGTGTAGTGAGCGCCAGCCGCCAAAGTCCAGGGGCGGAGGCTGGGCTCTTTATTCAGGGAAGGGGGGTAGTGTAGTATTTCTGAAGCAATGCATGCCCAGAGAACTGGATTTCTGCCCCTTGCACCTGCATCAGCATGAACAACCGCAGAAATGTCTGGGTGGGGCCCTCTATGTTATGGAGGAGCTCAGAAGAGATTATCATAATGGTTCCTTCTGGCCTTTAAAATGTACGACTCGAGAAGTTCCTGAGCAAGAAGTGGAGCTCGTTCCCCAGGTACCAATCACTGTGAGCAGTCTTTTATTAGTAGAGCCAGACAGATAAGCTGCTGTATGTGGCCTCCACAACCAACCAACCAACCAACCCGCTCCCTCTTCACCCATCCCACCACAACTAAAGCATCTGAGCATAAGAGACTTGCCCATCTGAAAGATGAATGAATGAGAGTTATATTTGACCGAAGGAAGGTCAATTGATGCAATGCCCTCTAAGTGTCCCTAAGCAGAAAAATAAAAATAGCTCTGTTTGACACCTGCTGGTTTCACTGTGGATTGTCGGGGGCATGACAGGGATGTGTTTGACCCACGCTGATTTCACGACAGGATGTGGTGTGGGGGCATATTTGATTCTTGCTGGTTTCACTGGGGGACAGGACGGGAAGGTGTGAGGGGCATGTTTGATTCACACTAGTTTTGCTGTGGGCATATATCAGGGTGTGTTTGCCCCATGCTGGTTTCACTAGGGAGCGTGGCAGGGACAAAATAGAGGGGTGTTTGACCCACACTGGTTTCACTAGGGGTGCATGGCAATGGCATGGTTTAACATATGCAGGGTTTCAATGACAACACGGAGGAAGGTGTCATCCTTTTTCTTTGGGTAGTGATATTTGCACAGGCTGTTAGTGCACAGCGCACAGACAGACCGGAACTGACCTTTTCCAGCTGCCACGTGGGGCAGCACCCTCTCTGCTCTTCCTGGATGAGTTGAGACAGTTTCCTGAAGAAGCAGTGGCACACTTGGGACTCGGAAGAGGCAATTTTCCCTCCTTCCGTTGGTCCCGTCTCGCCTTTCGCTTTGTGCACTAAAACCAAAGCCACCACTCTGAGCAGAGCGGCTGACTGGCCTCTCCCGCTCAGAGCACATTGCTGCTGGGAAGAAGTGGGCTCTCTTGGTACCTGCTGCCTCCCTTGCCTGCCCAGTTCATGGCAGCATGGGGGTTATAGCAGACCGGCAGAGCAGGACAGTGGAGTGAGCCAAGGCAATGGGCTCTTCTGGAGAAGGTGCTATCGCCTTGCGCAGTACTAGCTTCAGACCTATTCACTACGTATTAATAGTACTGCAGCAGCACAGAGAACAGGTTTGGGGGCTACAGAGGCAGTTGCTTCACCAAAGGCACAATGCAAGAGCGAAAGGAAAGGAAAAGCAGGGATTCGCATTGGGCTTCACCTAGCCCTGAGCTCCAAGAGGCCAGGAGCTTCTAGTATGAGGTAGCAGGCTTCTCCATTAACGTGGGACAAAGACGCCATGGAATCCATAAGGCATTTGCACTGGGACTTCTGCGCGGCCCAGTTCGCTGAAGGTCTCTGCATCCAGGACAAGCAGGAAAGTGTTTTGGTTCTACAGAATGAAAGACAGCAAGAGGAATGGCAGTGCTGGGTTCCACTCTGCCTTCCCATCCCCAACAGATCTCCTACTCCACAAGGAAGAGTCTGTCTGCACAGCGAGACTGCCCAAACCAGTACCCAAGAAAGTGAGCTAGAACCAGTGCTAGCCAGACATACCCTCAAAGCAGCTTTGACCCTGGAAACTAGGCTGCTATTAGGAATCTGATGCTCTGATGCGATTGACAATTGCAGAGGATGTAGTGACTGCAAATAAACTCAGCAGTACAAGGATTGGAAAGCAGATGAGCATGGGAATGAAGTGTTGGGACTGCCCTCTAGAGGGCACCAAATCCAATTCCATGATTTAAAATCCATATAAACACAACAGTTTCTTGCTACGTGTGAGACTGTCAGAATGAGTTACCTGCAAGGGTGTGACCACTACAGACAGAATGACCCCACTGTCTTCTGCAGTGGCTTTAGGCACTGGCACAAACACGGGCTCCGAAGGATAGAATCCATCCTCTTGCCAAATCTAGCAGGCAAAAAAAAAAAAGACAGAAGAGATGCACTTTATTATGATTTAGGTACTGCTGATATCCAGAGACCCGAGTCAGGATCAAGGCTCATTTGTATTGTCCAGAAAGGCAGAGACACCTTGTGCCCTGAAGAACTTACAATCTAAGGCCCTGATCCTGCAACTAGCTCCATACAGCTGGACCTACTGAAGTCAGTAAAGCTCCATTCAGGCAGATCCCTGTGCCTATGATGAACTCCACTGACTTACTGGAGCTGCCTGCACAGAGCTTCCCAGGGCCGCCCAGAGGGGGCGGCAAGTGGGGCAATTTGCCCCAGACCCCACGGGGGCCCCCACAAGAATATAGTATTCTATAGTATTGCAACTTTTTTTTATGGAAGGGGCCCCCAAAATTGCTTTGCCCCAGGTCCCCTGAATCTTCAGGGCGGCCCTGGAGCTTCCTACAGGATTGGGTCTAAATTAAGACAAGATGCGTCAAGTGGGGGGAATGCGGAAGGGAACAAAGGGGGTGTAGACCAGCTCTGGGCACAGTGAGATGCTTCATTCACAAATGGATTTTGCTTTGTTTTTAAATGACAGCATAACAATAAAGCAGCCCTGAGTGTCTCCATCTGGCCATCATCCAAGGTGAACAAGAAGTCAAGCATTTCCCATTCTTCCCACACCTACTGGAGCTAGATAAATCAAGAGCAGGACTGAGACAGACATTTTCCCACTGGTAGATAAAGAGAAGAGTAGCATTAAAGAAAGGACCACAACCGATACATTCCCTCCAATCTTTCATATGCACAGTGTCACTACTTACCCTAAAAACAGGAAAGGGTCATTTACTGAACACTAAAGGATTGTGAGAGTTTTCAAAAACGTGAACATTATTATTCATGATTTCTGTTCCAGTAGCACCTCAAGTTCCCAGCTGAGATCAATGCCCCATTGTATGAGGCATTGTACAAACACAGTGAGAAACAGGCCCTGCATCAAAGACAGGCTAAATAGACAAGCTGGGCGCAGGGTGGAAACTGTCATGAACTGACTTGCCCAAGGTCACACACCAGGTCAATGGTAGAGCCAGCCATAGAACACAGGTCTCCTCTATCCCAGTCCAATGGACTACCCGGCTGCTTCTAACACAAACCACCCAGTCACTCCTAACATGGAAACTGTTATGATCTACAGGAGGATCTTCTGGATTCTAGTTTCTAACCTGATGTTTGCTTTTAAAATAGAAATTCTTTATAAATTCAGAAGCAAGCCCAAGCCTGCACCACATTTTTCTAGGTCCTGTAAAATTTGCTACAACCATTAAGACATTGCCAATCCATGCAGTACAGGGAGGGTAACTGAAATTAACTCATCTGTTTTGATTTCTCAGCAATAACATAAAAGGGAGAAAATGTTTGCGAAAAAGAAAAGCACGAATTAGTAGAGTAATCACCTTTCCTTTTCTGAAAGCTGTCAAAAACAGTAAGGAAAGTATGAGATGTACTTGAGTGTACTAAAAAATCATGAAGTCATTACAGCTTAAACGTTAGTGGTTAGTGCTCTGGTGGGTAGAGCACTGATCTCTTTCCAGCTCTGCCACAGACTTGCTCTATGACCTCAAACAAGTCTCTTCACCTCTTGTTCATCCCCCCTCCCTTTTTCTGTCTTGTCTATTCATCAGGGCTGGGACTCTCTCCGAGAGAGAGAGAGAAAGCGTGCATGTGTACACAGTGCTTAGCACAACAGGGTCCCGGTCTCAGTGGGACTCTCTCCGAGAGAGAGAGAAAGCGTGCATGTGTACACAGTGCTTAGCACAACAGGGTCCCGGTCTCAGTGGGGCCTCTGGACACTACAGTAATACAAATAATTAGTTAATGAACCGTTGTTGCAAAGCCAGATCGGACTGAGTCCAACACGGGTTTCTTCCTGCACAAAGAGAGCCTTTCCAAAAACCTGTGATATTTAGAGCTTCCAGAGGCTTTTCCCAGCCAGATTATGACAATTTGGAGAGGGAGCAAATTTTCAGGGAGAAGTCTTGACTATCCCTGTAGTGTTCAATAAAGAACTTCCTTGTGTTTTTAAAGCTTGGGGAAATCTTACATAAAAAGGGAGACACCGAAAGGTGCGCTGGGATTTTCAGAGAGGCCTGAAGGAGGAGTTAAGGTCCCAGCTGTCAGCGACTGCCAATAGGAGTTGGACGCATAAGGCCTTAGCCTATATTTAAAATTTGTATATATGTCAGTCAGAGATGTGAATAACCACAAGTAGCATCCCAGCAATGCAGACAAAAACCCCAGTGTAGTTGAGAGAAGAATACTTCTGTCGACGCAGCTAACATTGTTTGGGGAGCTGGTGTTTTTACATCGGCAGAGCTCCTTCTCTTGTCAGCATACACTGCGTCTATACTAGCATAGGCTCTGTAGTGTAGACATAGTCCTAGTCTATAGAAACTTGCTATACTTGCAAAGAATAACTACTTTGGGGTTAATTCATATCTTTCATCATTTCGATGCCTCTGTGGGAGGACATTCTTATTTCACCATAAACACACCCCTGTTGTGATTTAGCCTAAGGTAATTCATTCCAATTAAAGCTAAATCAAAACAGGGTAAGTTTATTCTAAAATAAGAGCCCCCACACAAACTTGCATTGAATTAAATCCAATTGAGAACTTATTTCAGACAAACCCCAACTCCCTTTGGTCCCTTAGCCTATTAGTGTTGAAAAGCAAATTCAGGTCTGGGGTTTAAACCCACCAAAGCAGGGAAACCCATGTGGCTGCCACAGCCCCATTATGCCACTCAAGGTCCCACATCACAGGCCTAGAGATTAAAATCTGTCCCACTGAGGGACAGTATAAGCTCTGCCTAGTCACATACTGCACATTGGTAGGGCAGAATACCCCAGCTTTATGTCCATTGCCCCAGACCCCAAAAGCCTGAATGCCAGGTGCCCTGGAAGCGAAACCTCCACATTATGGGTTTCACTGTATTTTTAGAGTCATAGAGTTTAAGGCCAGAGAGGCCCACCAGATCAGCTAGTCTGACCTCCTGTATACCACAGGCCACCAGCACCACTCAGCGCCTGCACACTGAACCCAACAACAATCTTTTAGTGCACACGTTTCCCATGCTGTGTTCATCGTGATAATGTGGTGGCACACCCTTTAAGATCATCTTGATCCTGTCTCCATACCCAAGCCCCCTTCCCTTGCCCTGGTCTGTCCAGAGACCCAAAGAGATGTCTGCTTCTTATGTTAGGGCGTCACATTCAGACAGAGCAGGGCAGACAATGGAAGTGTGGGCCCAATCCCAGTTCTGATGGGTGAGAGAGCTGCCTGGGCTGCAGGATGACAGAAAACCCACAACAGCCAGTTCACAGGCTGAGTCATTGAATGGGGACAACTCCAGGGTCTTAAAGAAAATCATCCTACTTTGTCTCACCTTCATTTTCTTGGTTTCAGTATCCATCTTGATCAGCGAATCCCCCACCAGGTGCCGAAAGCCGCAGCCATAGAAGAAGCGGTACTTCCTACCGTTGCACCGTGAGTAATTAATCTGGGGGAACTCCAGGCCCCCGACCTCCTCCAGGTCCTCGGAATGGAGATTTTCATGCATGCACCAGACCTAGGGCAAGCAACAGAGCACAGGGCTGTTACTGAGCCCTGACCTGGGACAGGCGCTTCAACGCCAAACTGGTCTCATCCACATGCTACCCAACTACTACAGGGAAGATGAAATGTTTGGCTTTGTTCCCTGGACACCTCTAGCCAGCCCATCTCAGAACCATGCTGGCTCCCTTATCCACTTCACCCAAGGAAGAGACTTACAGCATTCTGGGGTTTCAAAAGGGCCCATAAGGCTGAGCGAAGGGGGAAAGTCTCCATAACAGCATCAGCACTCCAGTGTACTGAACAGCACCTTTCAGTTTGCAGGATCCTAAAGCACTTGACAAGCTGATCCAGGGATTGCTCCTCCACCACTGAGATGACTCTACCTCTGGGGCTATGTCTACACTACACTGCCTGCGGGACCTGGGCTTGCAAAATTGCTGTGTCCAAGTCTGTGCTTGAGCATCCACACTACACTGCAAACCCGGGCCTCCCAACAGTGCTAATGTGTCCACACAGCTCTACACAGCCCTGAGTCAGTCCTTCTGCTTCTGGGTGGAACACGGGAACTGATTAACCACCCACTGCAGCACTACACAACAGTTTAGGGATGGAGGCGAAGAGCAATTTTGTATCCAACTGAAAATGCAGGGTGAATTTTGGGATCAAAAGACAGAATTTGGCCAGTTACACCAGGGCTAACACCCCAACTCATGCCAAAAGTGCCACAGGGGCTTTAGTGACCATGTGTGGTCAGGATCTTGGCTTTACATCTCATCTAAAAGATGGCATCTCCAGCAACACAGTGCCAGGGCTTTGTACTGACTTCCATCCAAGTACAGACCAAGCCTGACTCCGCTTAGGTGGCAAGAACTAAAAAGATCACCGCACAAGACAATACAGGCGCACACAACCTTCAGTGTAGTTATTTATGCCTTTAAGACATACCGTCCCGTCCACCTCTTTCACAGCACTCGCTGACGTGTAGGACAACGGGCTGAGGTTCTGCCCCACGGGCACACTTGAATCCACATTCAGTGGTAGAACAAAGCGGCGGGGGAAAGCTCTGGCTGTCGAGTTATAGATCTGTTAGGAAGACAGGAAGTTACAGGGAGAGAGAGAGAGCTGAACAGGCTGGTGAGCTCAGTCCCCAGGGTGGGGCAAACACCTGTTGAGCTCTAGCCCTTTCCCCCATTCCAAGGCTCCCTGCTCTCTGATTATTTGTACTAGCATAGCACCTAGAGGCCCCACGCCGAGATCAGGGCCCCATTGTGCCAGGCATAGTGTACAGACATAGTGAGAAACAGTCCTTCCTGGGAGAGCTCACAGTCTAAATAGATAAGACACACAAAGAATGGGAGGGAAAACCTGCACAGAGAGGGGTAGTGCCAAGTTCACTCAGCAGGTCAGTGGCACAGCCAGGAATAGAAGCTTGGTCCCCTGACTCCCTGTCGTCTGTCTCATCCACTCTGCCTCTCCCTCCCACCCAGCACTTCCTATTCCTTCCTCCTGGCCATTCCCCTGGCCCTTCCTCCCACACCCTTCCTTGGATTAATGTCATTGTTACTTAGATACAAGTTTACAGCTTCTAAAATAATGAAACATTCTCATTTTGCCCACGATAAGAGTCACCCACAAATCAATGAAGCCAACTAACTCCAGGGAGCGTAGAGCTCCCTCTGCATTTCCCAGCCTTCAGCTCAGCCAACCTGGGACCAGCAGGTCCCATACAACAGACACAGAGGCAGGGGCTTTACCTGATCCAGACCCTCCCCAGCTTTGCGCAGGTTTTGGAGCTGGTAAATATGCAGGCTCCCTCCATCATCCTGGCAGCAGAGGTCAAGGACCACACAGCCCTGATCTTCAAAGGCGTTGATTTGATGGAAAGTCGCAAATGGCTTGCTGTAAAACTGCCCCGGAAGCAGCTGCAGTGAGACAAAAGACAGCTTCGTTTCCCACCTCCAGCAATCTCAGCCCCACCCTGGGCCCTGAAGAGTCCCATTTTCCCTTTCGCCAATCACTCTTTTCGCACCAGCTGTCTTAGACCCCAGCAGAACAACAGCTTCACAGCCAGTTATGGGCAGAAGCAGATTCAGTCAAGCTGGAGCCCAAAGCACACCATGTCAAGGGCCCCTCCGACCACGCACCACTCCCCACCTGGAGGGGCAGTGGAAGGGAACCCTTCTCACCCCTCAGAGAAGTAGTGGCAGTGGCCACGACACCCACATGGGGCCTCCTGGGGAACTCACACTCCTCACCCTACACCCAGATCCCCATGTCACTTGGCAGGTACATCTCAGCCCTTGTATCTGCAGCTCTGGGACTGCTTCCCAGGAGCCCCTAACTGCTTGTTGTTCTATGTTCTTTTAAGGGGCAGCAGAGAGATTTCTTGCATTTGCCTCTGCTCCAGCACCGAATAACTCCTCATCCAGGAGGCCTAACCATTCCCTGGTTTTCAAGCCAATACTGCAATAGTTCCTGGACTGACCCATACAGCCCAGGTTGCTGCTGCCAAAAGCCAGGGGCATTTCCTGTGGGCTCTAAGATTGACTGAACAGGAGAAATCTAGGCCTGCATAACTGCTGGAATGGCAGAAGATTTACCTCTCCTGTGTGCTTATTCACCACGTGGAAGCGGGTTTTGTACTGCGGCTCCCAGTTTATCCCATCAGCAATGGGCTTCCCAAGGAACTTGGATGTGATGACCCGACACAGATTAATCTTGATGGGCTGCTCAATGAAGACCACGTAGTTCTCACTCATTCCTGAATGGACAGAAGGGGGAAATCAAAACGTTTTGCTCCAAAAGGCAAATGAGGTGACGAGAACTTCTGGGAGCACGGGTCAGTGAACAACCTGCCTCTGGTACTAGAACCTGGTATGGCAAGTTGTAGCTTGTAGGCTGTGCTGGGTCTGCATGCAGAAGGCCTAGTAGAGGATGGGAGGCACCTCACCGAAGCTGTGATAGTAGGAGGGTTTCATCTTCTCAGCTGGAGCGATGGAGCACAAAACTTTTGCTCCCTGCAACATGTCATCGCGGTTTGAGTTCTGCGGAGGAATCCGAATAATGCTATAGCTGGAACCTGGAAAGGAGAAAGCGTGTCCATCAGCCCAGAGACCCAGGATTGACACAGTCAGCACTTCAGGACAGGCACCAAACAGGTTTGTGCATTAGCCCTCTCCATGTTCAGAGTCCTAATGGATCAGTCTTCCGATACAAGACATGCCAGATGAGATTTTCAAAGCCAATTGGGAGTTTTAACCACATAATTCCCACTGGAATAAATCCCCCAGCTAGCTTTAAATATTTCAGCCACCCACCCCTGAATCCCATCAGGTGCTGACAATAAATCCCAGCTAATGAGCTCTTAAAGCTTTGGCCGGATTCATCCAGTACTACAAATCTCCACTTCCTGTGGGGCCGATACTCATGCCTTCTCCTTTCAAACAAGGTCTTCCTATTTCTTTTATTTATTTATCTCCACCCTAGCCATATGCTCAAGTTAGGGTGACCAGATCACAGAGGTGAAATATTGGGACACGGGGGGGAGGGGGAAAAAAAAGCCGGGGGCAGAGCAAAAAAAAAAGCCACACCAGCTCCCCCCCCCCACCCCAGCACCAGCTTGCCTCCGCTCCATTTCCACCGTAAAGGGTGGGGATTTTAAGTAATTTAGTCAAGAGGGCGCGCAAGCCTCCCTCTCCCCGAATGAAGAGCTCGGGCGGCCTCAAGGCTGCACGAACAGCCTCCCCTCCCCCCAGGGCCAGGGCACTGTATTGCGGGCAGCCGCCCAGCGCGCCACGCTACGAGGGGGAATAACGCCCGGGCCCTGCTGGCGGCTCCTTCATCAAGGGCGTCGGCTGAGACTCTCCGCCCCCCCGCCGCCCGTTCCCAAGACAATGCTACTGCACATGAGAAGGGTGGCCGCACTGGGCACCCCCCGTGCCCCCACAGCCCTCGGGAGGAAAGGCACTGCTGGCACCAGGGACGTGGCCATCTACAGCGGGGCCCAGGTCCCTGCCGCAGGCCTGCAGGGGTCACTGCTCGGGCGCTCCCCGGCTACGCTGCAGCACGAATAAGCGGGAAGCGCCTAGGCTGGCACCGGCCACACACAAAGGTAAACGCGCCCCAAGCCCGGGGCGGCCCCAGGACTCTCAACAACCCCCGCCCGTAGCCTGAGGACTGACACCCCGACGCCGCGGAGATGGGCACCAACACAGGGAGGGCCCCCGCCAGGTCCCTGCGCGGAGACTGGCCAGGCCGTGGGCGCCCAGCGTGGGACAGCCCCTTCCCCGGCGGGCTCCAAGTCCCCGCGGGCCCGGGAGTGCGGAGCCATGGCGACCTTCACACCACTGGGCTACACCCCGCTGGAGAAAGTGGGACCTTGCCGCAGCCCCCAGGCCGGGACCCGCCCCAGCATCAGGGACGGGGTCTCCTCACCTAGGGATCCTCAACCCCTTCTCCAGCGCCAAGGCCAAAGCCTCTGCCTCCTCCCCCCTCCCTCCAGCGCTTGCGCCGCCATACAGCTGATCAGCGCAAGCCTGGGAGGGAGGGGGAGGAAGAGGAATGCGGCGTGCTTGGGGAGAGGCGGGGCCAGGGCGG